AAGGCTCAGGGCCTGGGGTGCCCAGTGGGGCACGGGGCCAGGGCGGCTCCTCTTCAGGCTCAGGCTCTGACTCGGACTCCAGCAGCAGCTCCTCAGGCTCCAGTTCCTCAGGCTCCAGGCCATTCCTGTAGTCCTCTGCGCCCCCAGGGTCCCCCTTCCCGGCCTCCTCACCAGGCCAGAGCACAAGATGGCGCTGCCCCAGCCCGGAGCCCCGACTGCCCCCAGCCCCCACTGCCGCCGCCACCGCTGCCATCTCTGCTCAGACTGTGGCCCGCTGCCCAGCAATGGTTTGGGAACCAGATGTTGGGGTCCAACCCCAGCAGGTCCAGGGGTTCCCAAAGGTGTGGATGGAGTGGGCAAAGAAGGAATGACACGGAGACAGCGTTCAGTTGATCAGCAGCCTAGCCAGGCTCTCTAGCCAGGATCTCCAGACAAGTTCTGGTGTTTATTGTCTTGTTACATCTGTATTTATACCAGTTGATTTTAATCCTCTCAATTTCTATTGCAAAGGTTAGGGCGTTTCTTATCTCTGTTCCAGGCAGTAAAGATTATGTAGCTTAAGCGTGATTGTTCGTAGTTAAAGTGATTAACTACCGGCCTGGCACTTAGTTCAGGGGTTTTATTTTTATTTTTTTTCCTTCTTTCCTCTTTTTTTCCTCTCTCTCCTCCTAATACACATGTTTTTTTAGTAAGGGGAATGCCATGAAGTCGCTCTAGTCCAGCCCCTGTAGACACGATCCCGGGGCCTGCTGTTAAAAAAAAAAAAAAGAGAGAGAGAGAGATGTGAACATAGATAACAGTAAAATGTAGTAGCATAATTAGAAAATAATGAGTTTTCAGTATTTATGAGCTTTTCTGTTTGTTTATTTAATATATTTTTATTGATTTCAGAGAGGAAGGGAGAGATAGAAACATCTATGAGAGAAAAATCATCATTGGCTGCCTCCTGCTCGCCCCCTACTAGGGATTGAGTCTGCAACCCAGGCATGTGGCCTGACTCGGAACTGAACTGTGACCTCCTGGTTCATAGGTTGATGCTCAACCACTGAGCCACGCCAGCTGGGGCCCACCTAGCCATTTTACATATACACACAAAATACATGGAACATTGAAAATGGGATTATATTATCAATGCTTTTCTGCCTCAAGGAAACTCTTCTAAGTCACCTGGCATAGCTCTAATTCATTGTCTGTTGTTGTTGTTGTTGTTGTTAATCCTCACCTGAGGGTATTTTTCCATTGATTTTTAGAAAGAGTGGAAGGGAGAGGGAGAAACAGAGAGAAATATTGATGTGATAGAGACACATCGACCTGCAACCAAGGTGTGTGCCTTTGATCAGAATCATAATTCATTGTCTTTTAATGGCCACATAATATTCCATGGTGTGGCTATGTCATAATTTTTCAACCCATTCTACTTTTATGGGCTGTAACATTTTGTCTCTAATATTTTCCCCCTATGAACAACACTGCAATAAGTATCTTTGCAAGTAAAAAAAAAAAAAGGTTAGCCCTAACCGGTTTGGCTCAGTAGATAGAGAGCGTCGGCCTGTGGACTGGAGGGTCCCAGGTTCGATTCCGGTCAAGGGCATGGACCTTGGTTTCGGGCACATCCCCAGTAGGGGGTGTGCAGGAGGCAGCTGGTCGGTGGTTCTCTCTCATCGATGTTTCTAACTCTCTATCCCTATCTCTTCCTCTCTGTAAAAAAATCAATAAAATATATATATATTTTTAAAAAATGTTATTACTACTACACCTCCAAATTTTTTCTCACCCTCCTCTCCTCCACCTTTTTCTTTTTAAAGCCAGTCAACCCTACAGAAAAATAAGCCAAAGTAATAACAGGCAACCCCGCCGTATACCAATGGCCAAGACATTTGTAATGATACACAAAGCCATGGAAGTTTAAATGCTCAATAACAACGAGATACATGTAATGAAAATATATTTAAAAAGCAAGACCCAAATACACTTCTGTAGGATTATAACTTAACATATAACTTTTAAATAATATATAACTTCAATTCAGTTGTATACAGTTGTAGGCCAGTAAATGTTTGTTAGTGGTACTTTGGAAAAAGGGGAAGAGGGCTGGTTTGTAGCATTTGCCAATTTCCATGGTGTAAATATTGCCATCATGGTTGATTTCAAACTATCAATATGCTATCACTGAACAGGAAATTAGAAAGAGATGCATAGCAGCTGCTATTGTGTTGTATTTCTATTGTCCAGATAAAAGAGATGTGAACAGAATACACACTTTTTTTAAAATATATATTTTTATTGATTTTTTACAGAGAGGAAGGAAGAGGGATAGAGAGTTAGAAACATCAATGAGAGAGAGACATTGATCAGCTGCCTCCTGCACACCCCCCACTGGGGATGTGCCCACAACCAAGGAACATGCCCTTGACCGGAATCGAACCTGGGACCCTTCAGTCCTCAGGCCGACGCTCTATCCACGGAGCCAAACCAGTTAGGGCCACACTTTTTTTTAGTAAGGGGAATACCATGAAGTCGCTCTAGCCCGGCCCCTGTAGACACGACCCCGACCACGGGGCCTGCTGTTAAAACCACTATAGAATCCAGCTCGGGAACTGTTGTAGTTGCTGGTCCTGGCACGGTATCGGGCTCGTGGCAAACCCCGGTCTGTTGTGCTGATCCCTGGTCTGTTGGTTCGTTTTGGGAGTACCTTGATTTTTCTTCCTCTAAATAGGGATTCATCTAAGGCCAGGGAAGTCCTCACTGACCCTTTGTCTGAGAACTCTATATATGCAAACCCTTTGGGATGGCCACTAAATTTGTCACAGAGGATGGTAACACGGTTGACTGAACCACAGCCATGAAAGTGTGCTTCCAGCTCTTCTGCTGTTGCACCATAGTCCACATTGCCAACATAGATGGAACGGGCATCAGCCTCCATCTTCTCTTCGATCGACATGATCACTTGGCCAGCATTGCCTGGAGGTGGACTCATATTCATCTGCTTCTCTACCTCGTTCTGTAGCTCTTTCAGCTTCTCAGCTTCTTCCTCCATCTCCCTGACTCGAGCTTTAATCTCTTCCAGCTCCGGGTCTTCAATGGCATCGTCCCCTGGGGCCCCCTGGACTAGTCCCGGCTCCTGCTCCTCCTCCTGGCTGCCTGGGACTCCCGAGCCAGGCTCAGGTCCTGGGGTGCCCAGTGGGGCACGGGGCCAGGGCGGCTCCTCTTCAGGCTCAGGCTCTGGCTCGGACTCCAGCAGCAACTCCTCAGGCTCCAGTTCCTCAGGCTCCAGGCCATTCCTGTAGTCCTCTGCGCCCCCAGGGTCCCCCTTCCCAGCCTCCTCACCAGGCCAGAGCACAAGATGGCGCTGCCCCAGCCCGGAGCCCTGACTGCCCCCAGCCCCCACTGCCGCCGCCACTGCTGCCATCTCTGCTCAGACTGTGGCCCGCTTCTCAGCGATTATTCGGGCGCCAGCAGGTCCAGGGGTTCCCAAAGGTGTGGACGGAGTGGGCAAAGAAGGAATGACACGGAGACAGCGTTCAGTTGATCAGCAGCCTAGCCAGGATCTCTAGCCAGGATCTCCAGACAAGTTCTGGTGTTTATTGTCTTGTTACATCTGTATTTATACCAGTTGATTTTAATCCTCTCAATTTCTATTGCAAAGGTTAGGGCGTTTCTTATCTCTGTTCCCTGGAGTAAAGATTATGTAGCTTAAGCGTGATTGTTCATAGTTAAAGTGATTAACTACCGGCCTGGCACTTAGTTCAGGGGTTTTATTTTTATTTTTTTTCCTTCTTTCCTCTTTTTTTCCTCTCTCTCCTCCTAATACACACGTTCTTTTAGCAAGGGGAATGCCATGAAGTCGCTCTAGTCCAGCCCCTGTAGACAGGATCCCAGGGCCTGCTGTTAAAAAAAATAAAAGAGAGAGAGAGAGAGATGTGAACATAGATAACAGTAAAATGAAGTAGCATAATTAGAAAATAATGAGTTGTCAGTATTTATGAGCTTTTCTGCTTTTTTGTTTTAATATATTTTTATTGATTTCAGAGAGGAAGAGAGAGATAAAAACATCTATGAGAGAAAAATCATCGTTGGCTTCCTCCTGCTCGCCCCCTACTGGGGATTGAGTCTGCAACAGAGGCATTTGGCCTGACTCGGAACTGAACTGTGACCTTCTGGTTCATAGGTTGATGCTCAACCACTGAGCCATGCCGGTTGGGCTATTAGCTTTGTTTTTAACATGACCTATTTATTTCTAAATTAACATAATTTAATTTTTAATAGTGGTTGTGTTTAACAATCAGCTCTCCGAATTCCTGAAAATTCAACATGAGATCATCTAAGCAGGCACTAGCACACCACGGGTCTTATCCTTTAAAACCAAAAAGTGCAAATTCTCTGAGCCTGCAATCCTTCTGGGAATTTATCCTGCAGAAAATAGTGGCACACATATATGATGATGTTATGTATAGGATGTTCTTCGCAGAACTGTTTATTGTAACAGAGAAATAATAGGAGAGAAGTTAAATAATTATGGTAGAATCACATAGCCTGTCAGAGAATGAGGTCAGTCTTTGGGCATAGACATGAACAATGCCAAGACATTTATATAACAGCATGCTGCAGGCCAATGTGTAGAGTACAAATCGATTTTTATGTTGATATAATCACAAGAAAACTTGAAAACAATACACACTCAATGTTGGCAGGAGTTTTCCACAAGCATGGGACTAAAAGGACAGGAGAGGAAAATTGTCCACCAACTTTATATAAACCCAGAAAAGGAAAGTGGTTGGGAGTATGAGTAATTTCTCATTTGTATGTATGTTTTTCATTTACTATAGTATACAAATTATAGTATACAAATAATTTGGAGAAACCTTGTCCTGAATATTTGTAGCTAAAATATTACACACAAACATACAAACATAATTTTTCCTTGGGGCATTTTTACAGAAGTGGAATTTCTGGGGTAATGCTATGTCCAGTGCTATGGCTTTTTGATAATATTACCAAAATTGCCTTCCTTACAGTTTCATTAGCAGGAGGCTGGTGCCTGCATCCCCTCCTCTGTTCTCCATGTTTGGTAGCTTCCATTTGTTCAATCATTTGGGAAGGTAAGTATTGTCTCCATCTCTACTGCTCTGTGGGAATCGCCCATTTGTGCCCTTTGCCCACTTTGTACTGTTATTAAAGTAACCCATAGAAGCCCTTCTTCTATAGACCTGTAGAAGGCAATCCATTTTATACATTGAAATTACTGCCCATTTTTTGTTGTTTTTTTTTAAATATATTTTTGTTGATTTCAGAGAGGAAGGGAGAGTGGGAGAGAAAGATAGAAACATCAATGATGAGAGAGAATCATTGATGGGCTGCCTCCCCCACACCCCCTAGTAGGGATCAAGCCCACAACCGGGGCATGTGCCCTTGACCGGAATTGAACCTGGGACCTTTCAGTCCGCAGGCCGAAGCTCTATCCACTGAGCCAAACCGGTTAAGGCGAGATTTTTTTTTTTTTAAGAAATAATATCCTTGCCCTGGCTGGTTTGGCTCAGTGGATGGAGCATCGGCCTGCGGAATGAAGGGTCCCGTGTTCGATTCTGGTCAAAGGCATATACCTTGGTTGCGGGCACATCCTTAGTGGGGGGTGTGCAGGAGGCAGCTGATCGGTGGTTCTCTCTCATCGATGTTTCTAACTGTCTATCCCTCTCCCTTTCTCTCTGTAAAAAATCAATAAAATATATATATTTTAAAAACTAAATTATATCCTCGAGTGACAATGGAAAAACTGGGCACATTGGACTATATAAAGAGAAAAATACTTGGTGTATATAGAGAAAAATATATGCAAAGTTAAAGAGAAACTGTAAGAAAAATATTTGCTACAAACAGCAGACAAAAGGTTATTACCACATCAGTGATGAGAGAAAATCATTGATCGGCTGCCTCCTGCATGCCCCTACTGGGGATCAAGCCCACAACTCAGGCATGTGCCCTGACCAGGAATTGAACCATGACCTCCTGGTTCATAGGTTGATGCTCAACCACTGAGCCACGCCAGCTGGGGCCCACCTAGCCATTTTACATATACACACACAATACATGGAACATTGAAAATGGGATTATATTACCAATACTTTTCTGCCTCAAGGAAACTCTTCTAAGTCACCTGGCATAGCTCTAATTCATTGTCTTTTTGTTGTTGTTGTTGTTGTTAATCCTCACCTGAGGATATTTTTCCATTGATTTTTAGAGAGAGTGGAAGAGAGAGGGAGAAACAGAGAGAAATATTGATGTGATAGAGACACATCGACCTGCAACCAAGGTGTGTGCCTTTGATCAGAATCATAATTCATTGTCTTCTAATGGCCACATAATATTCCATGGTGTGGCTATGTCATAATTTTTCAAACCATTCTACTTTTATGGGCTGTAACATTTTGTCTCTAATATTTTCCCCCTATGAACAACACTGCAATAAGTATCTTTGCAAGTAAAAAAAAAAAAAGGTTAGCCCTATCCGGTTTGGCTCAGTAGATAGAGAGCGTCGGCCTGTGGACTGGAGGGTCCCAGGTTCGATTCCGGTCAAGGGCATGTACCTTGGTTGCGGGCACATCCCCAGTAGGGGGTGTGCAGGAGGCAGCTGGTCGGTGGTTCTCTCTCATCGATGTTTCTAACTCTCTATCCCTATCCCTTCCTCTCTGTAAAAAAATCAATAAAATATATATATTTTTTTAAAAAATGTTATTACTACTACACCTCCAAATTTTTTCTCACCCTCCTCTCCTCCACCTTTTTCTTTTTAAAGCCAGTCAACCCTACAGAAAAATAAGCCAAAGTAATAACAGGCAACCCCGCCGTATACCAATGGCCAAGACATTTGTAATGATACAGAAAGCCATGGAAGTTAAAATGCTCAATAACAACGAGATACCTGTAATGAAAATATATTTAAAAATCAAGACCCAAATACACTTCTGTAGGATTATAACTTAACATATAACTTTTAAATAATATATAACTTCAATTCAGTTGTATACAGTTGTAGGCCAGTAAATGTTTAGTTAGTGGTACTTTGGAAAAAGGGGAAGAGGGCTGGTTTGTAGCATTTGCCAATTTCCATGGTGTAAATATTGCCATCGTGCTTGATTTCAAACTATCAATATGCTATCACTGAACAGAAAATTTGAAAGAGATGCATAGCAGCTGCTATTGTGTTGTATTTCTATTGTCCAGATAAAAGAGATGTGAACAGAATACACACTTTTTTTAAAAATATATTTTTATTGATTTTTTACAGAGAGGAAGGGAGAGGGATAGAGTTAGAAACATCAATGAGAGAGAGACATTGATCAGGTGCCTCCTGCACACCCCCCACTGGGGATGTGCCCACAACCAAGGTACATGCCCTTGACCGGTATCGAACCTGGGACCCTTCAGTCCTCAGGCCGACACTCTATCCACAGAGCCAAACCAGTTAGGGCCACACTTTTTTTTAGTAAGGGGAATACCATGAAGTTGCTCTAGCCCGGCCCCTGTAGACACGACCACGGGGCCTGCTGTTAAAACCACTATAGAATCGAGCGCCGGAGCTGTTGTAGTTGCTGGTCCGGGCACGGTATCGGGCTCGTGGCAAACCCCGGTCTGTTGTGCTGATCCCTGGTCTGTTGGTTCGTTTTGGGAGTACCTTGATTTTTCTTCCTCTAAATAGGGATTCATCTAAGGCCAGGGAAGTCCTCACTGACCCTTTGTCTGAGAACTCTATATATGCAAACCCTTTGGGATGGCCACTAAATTTGTCACAGAGGATGGTAACACGGTTGACTGAACCACAGCCATGAAAGTGTGCTTCCAGCTCTTCTGCTGTTGCACCATAGTCCACATTGCCAACATAGATGGAACGGGCATCAGCCTCCATCTTCTCTTCGATCGACATGATCACTCGGCCAGCATTGCCTGGAGGTGGACTCATATTCATCTGCTTCTCTACCTCGTTCTGTAGCTCTTTCAGCTTCTCAGCTTCTTCCTCCATCTCCCTGACTCGACCTTTAATCTCTTCCAGCTCCGGGTCTTCAATGGCATCGTCCCCTGTGGACCAGTCCCGGCTCCTGCTCCTCCTCGTCCTCCTGGCTGCCTGGGACTCCCGGGCCAGGCCCAGGGCCTGGGGTGCCCAGTGGGGCACGGGGCCAGGGCGGCTCCTCTTCAGGCTCAGGCTCTGGCTCGGACTCCAGCAGCAACTCCTCAGGCTCCAGTTCCTCAGGCTCCAGGCCATTCCTGTAGTCCTCTGCGCCCCCAGGGTCCCCCTTCCCAGCCTCCTCACCAGGCCAGAGCACAAGATGGCGCTGCCCCAGCCCGGAGCCCTGACTGCCCCCAGCCCCCACTGCCGCCGCCACTGCTGCCATCTCTGCTCAGACTGTGGCCCGCTTCCCAGCGATTATTCGGGCGCCAGCAGGTCCAGGGGTTCCCAAAGGTGTGGACGGAGTGGGCAAAGAAGGAATGACACGGAGACAGCGTTCAGTTGATCAGCAGCCTAGCCAGGCTCTCTAGCCAGGATCTCCAGACAAGTTCTGGTGTTTATTGTCTTGTTACATCTGTATTTATACCAGTTGATTTTAATCCTCTCAATTTCTATTGCAAAGGTTAGGGCGTTTCTTATCTCTGTTCCCTGGAGTAAAGATTATGTAGCTTAAGCGTGATTGTTCGTAGTTAAAGTGATTAACTACCGGCCTGGCACTTAGTTCAGGGGTTTTATTTTTATTTTTTTTCCTTCTTTCCTCTTTTTTTCCTCTCTCTCCTCCTAATACACACGTTCTTTTAGCAAGGGAAATGCCATGAAGTCGCTCTAGTCCAGCCCCTGTAGACAGGATCCCAGGGCCTGCTGTTAAAAAAAATAAAAGAGAGAGAGAGAGAGAGAGAGATGTGAACATAGATAACAGTAAAATGTAGTAGCATAATTAGAAAATAATGAGTTTTCAGTATTTATGAGCTTTTCTGTTTTTTTGTTTTAATATATTTTTATTGATTTCAGACCGGAAGGGAGACACAGAAACATCTATGAGAGAGAAATCATCATTGGCTGCCTCCTGCACGCCCCCTACTGGGGATTGAGTCTGCAACCCAGGCATGTGGCCTGACTCAGAACTGAACTGTGACCTCCTGGTTCCTAGGTTGATGCTCAACCACTGAGCCATGCCGGTTGGTTTTGTTTTTAACATGACCTATTTATTTCTAAATTAACATAATTTAATTTTTAATAGTGGTTGTGTTTAACAATCAGCTCTCCGAATTGTTGAAAATTCAACATGAGATCATCTAAGCAGGCACTAGCACACCACGGGTCTTATCCTTTAAAACCAAAAGGTGCAAATTCTCTGAGCCTGCAATCCTTCTGGGAATTTATCCTGCAGAAAATAGTGGCACACATATATGAAGATGTTATGTACAGGATGTTCTTCGCAGAACTGTTTATTGGAACAGAGAAATAATAGGAGAGAAGTTAAATAATTATGGTAGAATCACATAGCCTGTCAGAGAATGAGGTCAGTCTTTGGGCATAGACATGAACAATGCCAAGACATTTATATAACAGCATGCTACAGGCCAATGTGTAGAGTACAAATCAATTTTTATATTGATATAATCACAAGAAAACTTGAAAACAATACACACTCAATGTTGGCAGGAGTTTTCCACAAGCATGGGACTAAAAGGACAGGAGAGGAAAATTGTCCACCAACTTTATATAAACCCAGAAAAGGAAAGTGGTTGGGAGTATGAGTAATTTCTCATTTGTATGTATGTTTTTCATTTACTATAGTATACAAATAATTTGCAGAAACCTTGTCCTGAATATTTGTAGCTAAAATATTACACACAAACATACAAACATAATTTTTCCTTGGGGCATTTTTACAGAAGTGGAATTTCTGGGGTAATGCTATGTCCAATGCTATGGCTTTTTGATAATATTACCAAAATTGCCTTCCTTACAGTTTCATTAGCAGGAGGCTGGTGCCTGCATCCCCTCCTCTGTTCTCCATGTTTGGTAGCTTCCATTTGTTCAATCATTTGGGAAGGTAAGTACTGTCTCCATCTCTACTGCTCTGTGGGAATCGCCCATTTGTGCCCTTTGCCCACTTTGTACTGTTATTAAAGTAACCCATAGAAGCCCTTCTTCTATAGACCTGTAGAAGGCAATCCATTTTATACATTGAAATTACTGCTCATTTTTGTTGTTTTTTAAAATATATATTTTTATTGATTTCAGAGAGGAAAGGAGAGGGAGAGAGAAAGATAGAAACATCAATGATGAGAGAGAATCATTGATGGGCTGCCTCCCGCACACCCCCTACTCGGGATCAAGCCCACAACCGGGGCATGTGCCCTTGACCAGAATTGAACCTGGGACCCTTCAGTCCACAGGCCGATGCTCTCTCCACTGAGCCAAAGAGTTAGGGCCATTTTTTCTCTTTTTTTTTTTTTTGATGTGTGTATAGGGGGTGGAGAACCTTCCTCCAGATACACCCAGCTCTTCCTTCAGGCCTCTGGGCCCTGCCACTGTTCCAAGGCTTTGCCTGATCTGAACTGCTATTTCCAACCTGGGAAAAGAAGCTACTGGATAACTGAAAATGCTGGATAAATGCTTTAAACCTTCTTAGAGACATCAAAGAGCAAATGAGAGCTAAGGAATTTTCAGGCCAAAAACCAAGTAAAGGTGAGAAACCCAAAGAGGTGATCACAGCACTGAAACTACTTGGGTCCTGACGTGTTTGCCAAACTAGCAAACTTACAGTAAGCTGGGATTTTCTTCTTCATGGGCTCATGGGTTAAAAGGACCAACATAAGGTGATGTTACTCTTGCGCATAAAGCCAGGGCCCCAAAAAGCAGTGGACTACACCCACTGGACAATTCATTTTCCCCAAGCATGGGGGCTGGTAAAAAATAAAACCACATTGGTGTTCAGCAGAAAAGAGAACATAACTCACTGATAAATAGAAATCACATGCTGATACTTTCGAATTTGCAGTCCAAATTCGTATCACCTGAGTGATTCCCCCACAAATTTCTCAGGCTGTGGATTTCATTTAGAACTAGAGGACCGGTGCACAAAAATTCATGCACTGGCGGGGGGTTCCCTCAACCCAGCCTGCCCCCCTCTCACAATCTGTGGCCCTCAGAGGATGTCCTACTGATGTCCTCTGTGGGAGGCAACCAGGCCCATCAGGGGAAGGTGCTACACACATCACCCTGCTGCTGCCACCACCACCACCACCACCACCACCACGGCTGCCGGCCCTTGGCCCTTGCTCCTTAGCACTGGCCCTGCCACTCACCCAGCCTCTGCAGAGGCGTGGCACCAGGACCGGGCCCATGCCACTGCCTCTGTGGCTGCCTCTGCAGAAGGGGCAGCACTGTGACTGGGACAGCACAGCCCCCTCTCCCACTGCTTCTGCAAAAGGCCATGCCACCGCCTCTCCCGTGCCACCAGCCCTCAGCCCTCGCAGCCGCTGTGACTTTGTGTGGAAGGATGTCCAGAAAGATGTCCAGAAGATGTCTGGTCTAATTAGCATATTACCCTTTTATTAGTATAGATGATCCTGGGCTTCTCTCGTAGATACCAGGCACCTGGCAAATAAATCTTCCCTTGATAAAGGCACTTAATTATAGGCTACAAAAGGCAACAAGCGTCAACTCACAGAGCACATGGAAATAAGGCACCATGTATGAAAGCCACAGACACACAAGTCCAGGTCAGCAGAACTGACCCACAAAAGTGTCAGGCACAGAAGATGTCAGACTAAATTACAAGTAAGCTTACTATGTATACAAGATTAGAGACAAGATTTTAAATACCTGCAGGGAGCCATAAAATATAAAAAATGACATAACACACGTGAAAAAAAACTTTTAGAAATGAAGAATATAGCCATCAAAAATTAAAACTCGCCTGGCCGGTGTGGCTCAGTGGATAGAGCGTTGGCCTGCGGACTGAAGGGTCCCAGGTTCGATTCCGGTCAAGGGCATGTACCTTGGTTGCAGGCACATCCCCAGTAGGGGGTGTGCAGGAGGCAGCTGATCAATGTTTCTCTCTCATTGATGTTTCTAACTCTCTATCCCTCTCCCTTCCTCTCTGTAAAAAATCAATAAAATATATATTTCTTTAAAAATTAAAAAAATAAATAAAACTCAATGGTTAGCCCCAATGGTTGAGCAGTGACCTATAAACCAAGAGGTCAGGGTTCAATTCCTGGTCAGAGCACATGCTCAGGTTGCTGGGGCTGTGGGCTCGATCCCCAGTAGGGGGCAGGCAGGAGACAACCGATCTCTCTCATCATTGATGTTTCTCTCTCTCTCCCTCTCCTTTCCTTTCTGAAATCAATAAGAAATGTGTTTTTTAAAAATTCAATATATGTTTAAGGGACAAAACATAGTTATAGAATTAGCAAACTTAAAAATAGGTCAGAACATTATTTTATATGAATGGACTCATATAGTATGTGTTTTGTGTATAGATTCTTTCACTGAGCATAAAGTTTTCGAGGCTCATCCATGTTGTAACATATCAGCACATTCCTTTCCATGGCTGAGTATTATCCCATTGTATGGATAGACCACCTTTTGTTTATCCATTCATTAGTTAATGGACACTTGGGTTGCTTTCACCTTTTCACTATTATGAATAATGCTGCAACAAAAATATATAACAAGGTTTTGTGTGGACATTTTCATTCTCTTGGGTGTATGCCTCGGAATGGAACTGCTGGCTCATATGGTAACTGTTAACTGAGTTTACAAATGAAAAAATACATTTATAGTGTTTTTTACATTTACAGCAAAAATATAAATAAAATAATAATTTTATTGTTAAAAAAATAGGTCAGAATAGCCCAGCTGGTGTGGTTTAGCATCAACCTATGAAGCAGGTGGTCATGGTTTGATTCCCAGTCAGGGCACATGCCCAGGTTATGGGCTGGGTCCCCTGTGTGGGGCATGAGGAGGTAGCCAATCAATGATTCTCTCTCATCATTGATGTTTCTCTCTCTCTCTCCCTCTCCCTTCCTCTTTGAAATCAATAAAAATATATATTTTTTTAAAACATTTTTTTAAAGGTCAGAATAAATTATCTAGACTGCAGCCCCTGTACATCTTTCAATTTTGTGTTCCTGGTGCCTTGTCTCACCCAATCCCGACTCTACTACAGAATGCACTTGAGGCAGAAAGAAAGTGACCTAGGGAGAAGACTGAGATGTAAGAGAGAATGATTAACAAAGAAAGTGGTAACTACATTGTGCTCTCTTCAGTAGGGAGAGGCTGGGCCCAACTGGGGGGGAGGGGGCAGATTGGTCTTAAGTCCCAGACATGCTGGACCTTTGGGGGGCAGGGGAGGAGTGTCCCAGAGGAGAGACTTGAGACCTCAGGAAAATATAATACTGTGTTGTATTATACAGTATTATTATATATACAACTAGAGGCCCAGTGCACTCGGGAGGGAAGAGGGGGTCCCTCAGCCCGGCCTGTGCCCTCTCGCAGTTTGGGACCCCTCGGGAGATAATGACCTGCT